AATTGATCACTATCTTCATGATTTTATATTTGCAGGGAGGGATGCCCATTCTTGTCAAGACCTTATGTCAAATTTTCAAGGCGTCTGCGATGAAATAGGTGTTCCTATTGCCGAGGACATATCTGAAGGCCCTACCATGGTTATGACGTTTTTAGGTTTTGAGATAGATACTTATCATATGCTAGTTAAGATCCCCTATTCAAAATGCATAGAGCTACAGGGTATTTTACACCATCTCGTTGTTCAACGCAAGACAACACTCCAACAAATACTATCTGTTTTAGGTAAATTGAATTTCTTTACAAGAGCCATAAGACCAGGTAGGGCATTTCTGCGTCGGCTTTATAATGCTACAACAGGAGTTTCAGAATTACATTATCGCATAAGGATAACTCAGTCAATGCGGCAGGACTTGTACATGTGGATTAGTTTTCTTGAGTCATTTAATGGGACTGTATATTTTTTAGATATTGAGTGGACGTCAGACAACATTAATTTTTACACAGATAGTTCCGGTTCGTCTTACTTAGGTTGTGGTGCTTATTTCAATGGGGAATGGTGTTTTTACCCTTGGCCAGAAACTTGGGTGTCCAATGAAGTACTTAGAGACATGACCCTTCTAGAGTTAGTTCCGATGGTCTTGGCCGTCTATTTATGGGGTTTCAAACTAGCTAATAAAAAGATAATTCTCCATATAGATAATCAAGCTGTAGTCGCTATAATAAATAAGCTCACTTCCAAATCAGAGCGGGTCATGGCCCTACTTAGATCATTTGTACTTGTTTCTATGAAATATAATATTCTGTTTCGTGCAATTTACATACCAAGTAAAGACAATGTAGTAGCTGACTCAATTTCTCGTAAGCAGTGGGCCAGATTCCGACAAGCAGCTCCACATGCCAGGACACACCCTTGCCCAGTACCCTTATCATTCCGCAACATCATCTCCAGCCTGAGCTTGCTAAACTTTTAGACGCCTCAGTATCTGAAAACACACATAAATCCCATCGTGCTGGAATGGCAGCTTATTACAAAGTATGTAGACTCCTTGATTGCACGCCGTGCCCCCCTACATTAAACTCAGTCGTGCAATTTGTTTTGCATTCATCATCATCCGACCTTGCATATGGTACCGTGAGGTCTTACTTGTCTGCCATTTCATTTCATTGTAAATTGCAAAGTGTTCACGATCCAACCCCGGAGTTCTTGGTTACAAAGTTATTGCAGGGCATGAAACGTTTGAAACATAAAGCAGATACTAGATTGCCAATAACGAAAACAATTTTGCTAAATATTATTCAAGTTCTGCCCATTATATGTACCAATGCTTTTGAAACAGCTCTTTTCTCGGCTGCATTCTCCCTGGTATTTCATGGATTTTTAAGAGTTGGTGAATTAACAGTTAATACAAGCAAAGGTGATCAACAAAACACAATTCAAACCGACAATTTGTCCATAAATCACGAAACGCAATCTCTCTTACTGACTATCCAGTATTCGAAAACTGACCAGTTAGGTAAAGGCACAGTACTACAAATATATAAGCAGGTAGGTGTAGCATGTCCATTTCAGCTCATTACCAAATATGTCAGCATCCGTCCAGAGGGTTCAGGTCCATTATTTCGACACTTCGATTTATCTCCACTCACTCGATATCAATTTACGTGGGTAATTTGTAAGGCAGTTAAGCACCTAAATTTGCCTGGTATCTCAGGATACAAATCTCACTCTTTTCTTATCGGAGCGAGTACTGATCTCGCGATGAAAGGATTTTCAACCCATGACATTCAGAGATCTGGTCGTTGGATATCTTATTCTTACAAATCCTACATTCGCATACCAAAGTTTTAATTTAATTTTAGATACACAAACTATATGGTTGGTGGGTTCATCAATTATCAAACACGCCTTTTTGGAAGCTGTATTAAGACCAGGTGGTACAAATTTGACACTAGAAAGAAAACACATCTCCCTGTGGTGGCAGGGTTATAGTGGCCTCCAGTTAAGTAAAACTTAACAAAAGATTACAACTCTTGAAAAGGTGGGCCCTGTACCTAATTTCATTCTTATACATTGTGGGGGAATGATTTGGGCAATGTATCGATCAGAAAAATAAGGGTTGTTGCAAAGCAGTTGGTTTTATTTTTAAAGAATCACTTTCGAAACATTAGGATTATATGGTCATTTATATTTCCGCGTCTTCAATGGCGCTATTCAGCAAATTTAAAAGCAATGAAAAATGCACGCAAACGGGTTAATTCTGGTATAGCTGCAATTGTCTTGCAATCTGGGGGCGCAATAAGTATTATTTAGAGACCTCGACAGGTTCTGTATCGTAGATACAAATTTGGGGGCAGACGAGTGCGAAAGCACGAGTCTCCGCCCCCAAATTTGTATCTACGATACAGAACCTGTCGAGTTCTCTAAATGATTTGTGACACGATCAATCAAAAATAGCTCCGCCCACTTTATAACTTTGCAGCGTCCAAACTTCCGCCAGAGTTCTGTAGATGAGGCCCCGACGGGGAGTACGCATCCGCAGTATATATATATTTCCACGGAAAACGTAAAATTCGGTCAGATTTGTTTTGACAATTTAACGGGGTAGACGTAATCGAGTGATAGTCAGTCTTAATGGATAAATTGGAGGATTTAACCGTAATTGTTGGGATCTATTGTTATGATTGTAGATGGAGATTTATCATAATTTATTTCAGGGATCTTAAAATCCCGGTTTAACTAGATTTACATAAACAGGATTTACAGAAAATTCTTCGATGGACTTTGATGTCACGGATTTTTATTTTCAAATTGAATTGCCACATTAAAAACGAAGTGAAAGAGACGTGTGGCTGTCGTCAGCGAGAAGGATTTTTTCCGTGGTAGCGAATTTTCCGTTTCGTGTGGATTGTTCAAAATTAGGTACAGAGGATGTTTTCCGTTATTGCGATTTTTCTTTTTACTTTCGATCGAAATTACGTGTAGATTCTGTGTGGAATAAGTTTTTAAAAAGTGATTTAGAAATTTTGACATTCTGCATTCTCAGGAAAATACCGGGTATTTCTTAAAAATTAATAATAGGAAAACATCAGTATTTATTATGTGTACGTGCTAGCTTTGCTAAATTGAATCAGATTTATTTTTAGACCGTGCTGTATTTTAGATACAGAATAGTTGGCAAATGCAATACTGTAAACAAGGCTAATGCAGAACGGAAAGTAGCTCCGCCCACCACAGTCCCGTTCTGTATTGCTAATACAGAACAGTAAACTTCAAAGAAAAACACCGCTATCGTGTCACAATCCGCCATACAGACATTAAACCTGATCCAGCTTTGTTTTTACAGGATGGGGTACACTTGTCCTCGTTGGGGAATAACATTTTTCTAAACTCTCTCCAGGGGTGAATTGAGGCTATCGTTGCGAATGGTCAATCCTGCTTTCTCAATTAGCATGGGTCCTGGGTACTGCTGTTCGTATATGCCGCTCTACCCTCACCATGGTGGCGGAATTCCCTGGATGAGTTTCATTCTGATCCTCATCTCAGGGAACTTTTGGCGTATAAGCGGCATTTTGGTAATTATACTGTAAGCGTTGACTTCTGCACCTCCCAGGGTCAATGCTCCCTATATATATGTATGGTGAACTTTGATGTTGTGAACTTTGATCTTATTTGATTGCACTAAAATGTTAACTTTGAACTTTGATGTTGTATGAACTTTGACCTACCCTATATGAACTTTGACCTTTGGTAATGACCTTGCTATATGATTTGCTTTGATGTTGAATGTTGTATGTGCTATTGATTTGGGGCATGCTCGTTGTTGGCTGCCCATTGCCCATATTGTTTGTTTTGTATTTGAAAGCAAAGTTATGCATAACAGCCGTGCCCATAATATCGCCACACTTAATAAAGTTAATTTCAAGTTACCATTTGTTTGAGTTACACTTTTCTGAGATAAAACAATATAAATCAGGAGCAGAGCAAACTTAGACCTCTAAAACTTCTGAGGTGGATTCAAGGGCCAAGGAGGTGTGAGAATCCCCTGCCGACCAGTTACACCCGCCGTGTGCTCCTCATCATGATCGGGAAATAACAGGAAAAGCTGTACACAATTTAGTGGATAAATAATTGTCTAACAATTATGATGATGAAAAATGTCTATCAGAATTTGACTGAAGAACAGATTGCATTCCTGACAAGAGCATTGTATCGACCATAAAACTTGCAAATTGATGACTTTAAAGGAGACTGTTGATATTCTTGTTTCATGAAATTCTTTGTCAAAAATTAACTTCGTTTTAGGAATTGTTCGTCCGTTGAATATGATCTTGTGTATATAAAGGTGAAAACCGTATATTACTTCATAAGTTAGGAAAGTTGGCATCTGAAAAATAAAAGTCGTGATCAAGTTTTTCATAAAGTGTTGCTATTAAGTTACCGTTACTGTCTTTTTCTGGTAAATAACCAAATATGAAACAGATGTGTCAGCAAATCTAATTTTACCTTTAAACGCAAAATTTATTGCCTTTATTCCTTAACTTTTGCGATTGAACGCATTTTTTTTTTGCATTTAAAAGCAATGTACATTTCGATAATTAAAGCAAATCATTTGCATTTAAATGCAAATATAGTTTGCAGTTTGCACATTTCTGTTCGAATCTTTATTCTCCACCCTTTAAAAAAATTAACAGTCGGTGGGCCTAATGTGGTCCTAAAGCTTTAAAGAAAAATACATGTATTTATTTTACTGAAATATATTTGTTTTTCTAAATTGTGAAAATTTTATTCAAATAAATTAACTTCGCTTTCTCGAAATCTTTTTGTTAAGAACATCATATATACATACGTGTATCTACTGTGAGCTCGCCACTCGGTTTATTGGAAAGACAGTTGTTTTTATATTCACAATCGATCTTGTTCCAAGATCCGCCACCAAACCCGTTTTCCTTTAAGTTATTAAAAGCCAATGGCCTTGAACAGCTGTTGAAATGAATGTCGAGAAGACAGCTACATGTAGTATGGCATCTAGCGTCGCAGATTATTTCAATTCAAGCAACTTTTAAATGACAAAGTTGAAGTTAATACTATGTGCTGAAAATGCAGATTACGGAAACAGCCACGTCACCTGAAGAAAAAGGTAAGAAAATCGATTCAAACGTACAGGTTTAACATTGGAATGTGACCAGGTGACGCTAATGTTTACATATGTTGAAATTTCTGATGTACATGTGTACACATTTTCTTCACGTTTTCGAACATAGGGTTTTTGACAAATGGGATATAGCATAAACTAACACGTATTACAAAATAATTATACAATAAAGGGTTTGAATAGGTGATTGCTCATGTAAGAAGTGACCTAATTTATCCCCGGGTATGTAAACATTCCGAAGGCGAGTTATCATTTAAATCCTCATTCTTTAGTTTTCTTAAAAGACTGTTTACATAAAATCTTTAAAGTAAAATATGATTTTAAAGCAATTTAATCGGTCTCTCTACCTCTCTCTCTCTCTCTCTCTCTCTCTCTCTCTCTCTCTCTCTCTCTCTCTCTCTCTCTCAGTTAATTATGTAATAAATAGCAAATATTAAGTGGGTATATTCAAAATTGGTTTTTCGGTATTGATTTTTGTTTTAAATGTAAATAGAAGTGCTAAATTCATACGCAGTAAAATATACATTTAATGGAGATATCTATGGATTAGGTCCAAAGTTATTTTAAAACAAATATTCTCTATTAAGTTTTAGATGCAGCTAAAAGGCTACTGCAATCGTATGAATAACCTTAGTTAAAAGAAAACGCATTCGAATATATAGACGTCAGAAAAAAGAAAAGCGCTACAACGTACTATTAAAAGTTACGCACTTAAAAAAAATTTTTTTTTTCAAAGTGCGTATTTTTTTTTTCAAAGTTCGTCGCCCCAAAGCGCCCATTGAGAAAGAAGAATGAATATTTAACCAAAGAACAGAACTAAATATATACACCTGTAGTTTTTATCTTTCTTTGAACTGTTATAATTGTCTGTTGATCTGACTGCAATAAGATGTATGTCTTTTATAATTGCAAAGTCTAAACATACTTCACATGATTTTCTCACTTTATATTTAATCAGTAGGATTTGGAGCTATAACATAAACGTATTTTTACATTGTTACATTCATAAAGATATCAACTTTAATTGGAATCATATCTTTCATACCTATTTTTTGTATGAAGGTAGACAAAAATGCCATTACAAGAAGTTTTTTTTTGTTCACATGTGAGATGAATACTGAATGGACCTTGTTCTTTTGTCGTAGAGGCACTAAGAAATCGCCGGAATGATTCCTTGACCAAGTTCTTCAGACATTCTGCAGTATCTGGAGTCCTGGCTTTCGTGGGGATCGCTGTGGGTATTGCCAGTATTGTGGTGGGAGTGGATAATGGACCATTTCATCTGGCGGGCGGATCTCTAATTCCAGGAATATTGGTTAATTATGTTTTCTTTTATCTTTTAACATATTGTCGATCCTTTGTTTTACTCGAGTACTTTATTCACTGATTTATTAAGTAATGATTATTTAACGTAAAATTTCGAAAATACACATGTATGTGATTGTCAAAGTGGACTGTTCATTTAGAGAGTTTGAAGTTTTTCAGTGGCGCCTATCGTGAAATTATGCGATATTATATCTTGTATATTTGGAAAAATATTTTCAAGCATTAAATATGTAACAACAGACGATCAAATTCTACAGAAACTGATTTGTCTAAAATCAAAATTCACTTAATTATTTAAAAAAATGCATCTCGACTCCTCAATTATAGTTCAGCTGAAATGCGAAAAGACAGCAGACAATATGACGTCATTTTGTCATTCATGCTCAACTTCAAATTGAATGGAATTTTATAGAATTATGCACTTTTTTCACACATAATTGCGAAGCTTCTTTTCTTTTCAGATCTGCATTTGTGCCAATCTTGGATATCAGATATATCTAGCAGGACAAACTCACCAGCGTGACGAGAATGTCGGAACCAAGGCCAAATGTTTGGTAAATTTGCTAAAAGGGTTTGTAGTGAAAAGGGGGAATGTACGTTATATGTATCTGAAGTTATGCTTTATGGACCTGTAATGACATTGGTCAATATTTGACATTTTCATTCCTTAATTGTTTTAAAACATTTATATAAATACTCAAATTTATGAAAATGTGAATTTTTTCATTCACATTCCAATCTTTGTTTTCACGATGTATTAGATAGTAAAGGGTGTTAACGAAGTTCGTTCTTCGAGATTACCTTTCAGTCCACAATATTTATGACCTTAAGTAAAAGAAATTGACCCTTTTCGAAAGAACAGTCTTGTCATATTGAAATTCTTTACTGACTTGATTAATTTTGCATAGGTACAGTGTATTTGAACAGACATATTGACCTGTGTGCATAGTATATGTCACAAATATGTTGCATCCGTAATTTTACTATACAACTATCATCTAGACTAGTTCAATACATACCGTTCTCCCTTTTTCTTTCAAGAACACAAAGTTAAAACCTTTTCAGTCAATGTCAGTAGCAAGAATGGACTCTGCGAACATGAAATGTAACAAATTTTAAGTATCTTCTCATTCATTTGTAAATGAAAAAAAGATATGGAACTAGAGCAGAGCTCGTTGCAAAGCAACGAGTAGGTCTTCCGTCCTGTTTGACCGGAAGTAGCTTTCATTTTTAACAAAAATGAGAAATAACGCCCAAAAATGCTTTGAATCCTCTAAAGCTATGTCAATTAATGCAAAAAAGCCATTTTTTGCTACTTCCGGTTTGACCGGAAGTGACGACGACGCACCAAAATTTAATTTTTAAGCTCCCAGAGACATATGTTGCCAAAAAACTTGTCAAAAACGGCAAAAATACGCGTTTTCCGACTACTTCCGGTTTGGCAGGAAGTGACGATGCTGGACGTATTTTGACGACTCCATTAGATTAAACTTGACATTTTCAACAACTTTGCTTCTTTGATGTATAACAAATTCTCAATACTTTTTGAGATATCTGGAAAAAACTTTTGGCCCCTCTAGACCCCTTAATTTAGGGGCCAGCCCTTTTTCCGACATATCATTTGAAAGATCTTTTAATTCTGCACAAATTATGTTCTATATATATTAACAAAATATTTTTAGTTTAGAAGATAAGAAGCAAAATATGAGTAATTTTGGGTTCTTTTAAGCGTTCCAATTTTTGACCCCTATATAGCGCCATTTTGAATAGAGAAATCGAAAAACAAAAACCAATGTGCACAACCTCAATCCTTCTATAATCTAAAATCAGTAGAATTTCTGCTCCAGCTTTAGCCGTCTCTGAGCCTTTGTCTGGAAACGAAAGCCTATAAATTTTTGTTTAAAGGGAAATAACTCAAAACCGGAAGTGACTTTTTGAAATTTTTGTCAAAATTCTGATAAAGTTTATAAACGTCTATAACCTCTGAAAATTTGAGCGAAATCCGTTGAGAAATGAGTGAGATATGAGGCCTCAAAGTTGCGGTCTAGGAATCAGAAGAAAAAAAAGAATAACTAGATGCGATCTCGTTGCAAGCAACGAGTAGGTCTTCCATCCGATATCTGATGGAATAAGACCTGTGTTGGGATAATTCCACTGATAGGATAAAAATTGTCAAAAAGGCACAAGAATTCTTCAAAATATGTTTAGAAACACAACAAAATGAAGGATCTATCAATTCCAATCAACTTCCGGTTCTACTTCTTCACTTTCGGTGCGACCGTATGTGCTCAAAACTACTTACAACTCTACATTAAGCATGCAGTAATCATCCCTGAAAGTTTCGATGGAAAATACTCATTTTTAGACAACTTCCGGTTTGAACGAACCGCACTTCCGGTGGAAATATTAAGATGTTAAGCATTCTTTAAATTTCTATAATAACAATTACATTCATTAGAAAATGAAAAAAAATCGCTATACATGTACATGTATTTAAATTACATGTACTTCCGGTTTACAACGGAAGTGTCGATGGAAAAAATGAACAAATTAAAAGTATGCATATTGTTGGGAACATTATTTTGACCATCTTTTGTTCAATATTGCTTATCAAAATATTCACGCTTTTCGAGATATAAAGCGTCAAAGATTTAGCATTCTAGCCCCCTGTGACCCTTTGTTACGTAACATATGATCAAATTTTTAGTGTATATTGTTGCAAATCGTTAAGTTGAATATCTTTGCTTCAGTAGTGTATCACAAAATATTGATCATTAAAGAGTTAAAGACGAGAGAATTTTGGCCCCTCTATGCCCCTAATTTGAAGGGCTAACCCCATTTTTTTCATATCAAATGAAAGGTCTTACTATATTGCACATTTTTTATTATATATGTCTTAACAAAATATTAACCAGTAAAAAGATATCAAAGAAAACGTATCAATTTTTGCGAGATGCGTATGAGCCTATTTTTCGAGCCCAGGCGAGCGTCGATGCCTTTTCACCTGGAAAGCTCTTTATGCAAAATGTCACATCTACTATCCTTCCTCTACCTTCACTGAAAATCTCAAGTCGATATCTTAAGTCGTTTAGGAGGAGATCTCAGGACAAGCCGACCCTCTAAAAATCAGAAAATCGTCCATATCTCACGACCGGAAGTGACGTCATCAACGACGAAAATTTCCGACAAGGTTCAGATTAATATCTATCAGATCTGAAAGTTTGGTGAAAATCGGGCGAGCCGTTTCCGAGAAATCGCGTGCACAAAATCGGTAAGAAAAAAAATAATAATAACTAGATGCGATCTCGTTGCAAGCAACGAGTAGGTCTTCCGTCCGATATCTGATGGAATAAGACCTGTGTTTGGATTGTTCCACTGATAGGATACAAAATGTCAAAAAGGCACAAGAATTCTTCAAAATATGTTTAGAAACACAAAAAAATGTAGGATCTATCAATTCCAATCAACTTCCGGTTCTACTTCTTCACTTCCGGTGCGACTGTATGTGCTCAAAGCTACTTTCAACTTTACATTAGGCATGTAGAAATCATCCCTGAAAGTTTCGATGGAAATACTCAATTTTAGAAAACTTCCGGTTTGAACGAACCGTACTTCCGGTGGAAATATTAAGATGCTAGGAATTCTTTAAATCTCTATAATGAACAATTACATTCATTAGAAAATTAAAAAAAAAATCGCTACACATGTACATGTATTCAAATTACATGTAGTTCCGGTTTACAACGGAAGTGTCGACGGAAAAAAAATGAACAAATTAAAAGTATGCATATTGTTGGGAACATTATTTTGACCATCTTTTGTTCAATAATGCTTATCAAAATATTCACGCTTTTCGAGATATAAAGCGTCAAAGATTTAGCATTCTAGCCCCTTGTGACCCTTTATTACGTAACTTATGATCGAAGTTTTAGTATATATTGTTTCAAATTGTTAAGTTGAATATCTTTCCTTCAGTAATGTATCACAAAATATTGATCATTAAAGAGTTAAAGACGAGAGAATTTTGGCCCCTCTATGCCCCTAATTTGAAGGGCTAACCCCATTTTCTTCATATTAAATGAAAGATCTTACTATATTGTACATTTTTTATTATATATGTCTTAACAAAATATTAACCAGTAAAAGGATATAAAAGAAAACGTATCAATTTTTGCGAGATGCGTATGAGCCTATTTTTCGAGCCCAGGCGAGCGTCGATGCCTTTTCACCTGGAAAGCTCTTTATGCAAAATTTCACATCTACAATCCTTCCTCTACCTTCACTGAAAATCTCAAGTCGATATCTTCAGTCGTTTAGGAGGAGATCTCAGGACAAGCCAACCCTCTAAAAATCAGAAAATCGGCCATATCTAGCGACCGGAAGTGACGTCATCGACGAGGAAAATTTCCGACAAGGTTCAGATGAATATCTATCAGATCTGAAAGTTTGGTGAAAATCGGGCGAGCCGTTTCCGAGAAATCGCGTGCACAAAATCGGTAAGAAAAAAAAATAATAATAATAGGGAAAAAGAAACCGAAGAATAACAAGAAGGTCTTCCGTTGGAGACGGAAGACCTTAATAATAGGGAAAAAGAAACCGAACGAAAACAATAAGGTCTTCCGTTGGAGACGGAAGACCTTAATAATCTTTACCAACAGAATCAGTAGAAGGTCTTCCGTTGGAAACGGAAGACCTTAATAAACTTTCTGAACATTCTTTATGTTTTCAACAATTACAAATATGCAGTGTAATTGGCACGTGCATTGTTACATGCATGATGTGTTAATAATTTCCCACCCTACCAAAAAAAAAAAAACCAAAAAAAAAAAAAAAAACAAACAAAAAGCGAAAAAACTGCAGGCTGACCAGAATCTTACCTTCCTAGTCCAAAGAACCTTTTTTATTTATTATCTATGTTTTCTTCTTGCTTCCAAAGTATTGAGATCACGATGTACATGTGTATTTTAACATGTTTAAATAAAGTTGTCTTTCTTCTTCAACAGTTTGTGGCCCACTACGTTTTAAATTTACTGACAGCTCTGATTTCCCTGGCGTTTATTGCACTCTCAGCTGTTGGCATCGCTTGGTGTTCTGGAGTTGAACATTATTACGTTAGAATTAACCGTATCACCTACAAGAAAAACACCACTTGTCCAGAAAATAGAACGGCCGCCATAGTGACGGGTGGGTTATCCATGGTTGACAGCTTCCTGATAAGTGTGTGGTGCATTCTGGGAACAGTTTTCTTTTGTTGTTACTTTAGAGCATTTGGACTCCGACGGAGGTACAGATATTATTCATATTAACTGGATACTTACCATGTTGAGGAATTCTAAAAGCAACTGCAATATCCCTAGCTTAAATTCAGAAATAAAGGAGAATAACAGTAGCACTGGCAAGGGTATCATATTACATCAATCCGTTTGTTTGATAGGAACTTAAGCAATGGACTACATGTATATGTACTTATGCAGATCTGCAGGTTAATGAAAAATCTAGAATATGTGGAACAAAACACGAACATTTATTGTTGTTGTTGTTGTTGTTGTTGTTTTTGTTTTGCATCGGTTACATTGTGTTTATTCATGCTTCATGAAAGTCCCGATGCACAGAGAAACATTGCGGGGTCAATGAAATGCTCTACTAAGCCCCTATCCTTACCCCTTACGAAAATTAGCAATACTGCTGTTAAAGAGAAAGTTATGGAGATCTGCTGTTTCACAAAAAAACTGTAAACCAACTTTTACTAGGCAGCGTGCAAAAAATATTCGAATGTTTTGCGGTCTTCTTTTACTCGCGAATATTTCTCCTTGCTAACCAATTTTAAGTAGAATGTTACCTCATTCCTCATACCGCAAAAATGATAGTCGTGGATTGATTTCATATTGAAAAATTGCGAATAGTAATTTGTTTATAATATTCTTGAATGAAGCATTTCTATGGTCGATACAATAACCTTGCCAGTAAATATAATTTATACTTGAGGCAAATGATGACTTACGTTTTTCATTCCGGTTCCTAGTGCATTATATACACACTGATTTGGCGACGGATTTTTCCGTTATTTCCCGATCATGACAAAGACAACATGGCGGGTATGATAGGTCGGCAGGGGATGCTCACTCCTCCATGGCACCTGATCCAGTCTCTCATGTTTTGGAGGCCCGTGGTTGCTCTACTCCTATTAAGTCGCTTGAATACTATCTTGTTATCTCCATATATCATGAAAAAACAAACGATATTTAAGCTCAGAAAGCAAAATTAAACAATCCAAAATTAGAGAAGAGCAAATACGGACCTCCAAATCCTCAAAGGTGGGATCAGGTGTCATGAAGGAGTGAGCATCACTTGCTGACTTATCACAACCTTCGTGTGCTCCTCGTCATGATCGGGAAATAACGGGAAAAACGGCCGTCGACAATTAAGTGTGTATATATAGACCTAACAATAAGTATGAAAAACGTTTGTCATCATTTCATTATTTGACTTAATGATAATTTGCATTCGCTGATTTGGTCATTGTATCGACCATACAAACATACAAAATGATGACTTTAAACAAAAAGTGGTGTAAGTCAGATGTGAATTCTCAAAAACTCCAAAGAATGTTTAGAAAATTTTAAATCGTCAATTTTTTCAAACATCAGTACTACAGCGTAAGACTTTTCTTGCTATTGAAATGCACTCTCAACTACTATTGATATAATTATTTCAATAGTGGTCTTTATTTCAATAGTGGTTGCAACACTGCACACATGTACTCTGAAGTTGATAATAAAAGGATACTGGAGTTCCTTAATCACAACATTTACAAAGTCTTCGTAGACCACGTCTTTCAACCAATCGTTGGAATTCCGATGGCCACTTGATATACTCCTTTTTTTGCTGACTTTTCTTTTCCTATGTAGCAGGATTCATTCATAAAATTCTACATGAGAAGGCCATCACGTTAGCACAGTCAGTAGGGCGCTCGCTCCTTGATCCGTCGTGTGTTCGAAATCACGGTCGCGATCGACCTAAGTCGCTAAAAAATAGATACATGTAGCAACTGCTCCTTCGCCATTTGCTCGGCAGTGAAAGTTGCAGGTTTTTTCGGATGAGACCTTAAAAACCGTTGGCCTTGCGTCGTGGTGGGCGTTGGTACGACAAAGAAGCATTACCACTCAATGGCGATGAGGGCCGAGTAAAGTTCTAAATTTGAAGCCATTCACAGGTATATGGTGAGTTCTCTATATTAGTGAAACATTCTCAAACGAGGCATAAAACAACAATCAATTGATCAATCTATATGAGTAGAAAAAACTTGTTGTGGCCTTCTGAACTCGACTTTTAGATATATCAACAATGTATATGTCTATTTAATTATCTTTTATTCATATGTCGATGATTTCAACGTTTCCTTCGGCATCTTGTAATATCCCTCTATTACCTACAAATGCTTTTACATCTACCAACCTTTTCGATACACAAGATCATGTTCCGAGTACGATTAATTTTAAACAGAGGCAGACTATAAAGGTGTAAGATGATGTTAGAATGATTTCAATACTTTTGTTCAAAGGACAGCATTGTAAAAATGATATGCTTTTTACCATGTTCTTGTTAGCATATATAATCTATCATTTGGTCTTATGTAGGACTGAATTGTTTAATACCAATTATAAAGCCTTTGGTTTTCATACTGAATTTGACAATAGAATGTTACATCTACCTGATCAAAACAAAGGGTTCATGGCGAGTATAATCGGTCAACAGGGGATGTTTAATCCTCCAAGGCACCTGATCCAACCTCTGGAATTTGTAGGGGTCCATATTTTATACCTTCTTCACATAATTGCTTTGTTTATAGATTTTTTTAGATCGATCTCTGTTATTTTCACCCGTTTTATTTTTGCTCCATTATACTGTTTAAGGGGTGGATTTCTTTTTTCTTTGATTATAAGGTCTAAGTTTATTTGGATTCATCAGACAAGTAGTGGCCTTTTGTTTTCGTTGTGGACTATATAAAATGCACAATATTTTATTGTGGTTAGATTAAGAAAAGATGTTAGAGCAATCAGGAAGCTTAAATTGAGATAATCGAGAAATTTCATTGATAATTGAAGTACAAAACAATGTACTTGAGATTTAAATCTGTAATATACACAAGAGAATTTTTAAATAAGATATCTCGTTGCAATATCATGTGATCATGGAAAAGTCAGAACTCAATGATAGACTTTAATTATCATTTTTTTTTTCATTTCAATTTATTTTCCAACCAGCAAATGTTGTTTTGATGCCGCTACTTGCATAACTTATCACATATGTGGTAGATGCAGCTGCTGATCGAATATAAACATTATCATGGGCGTTTAGAGACACCACCATTGTTCCAGAATCAGAGTCGTAATCGTGTTGGTTGTTGTCCGTTTCGCCAAATGTATAATCAACCTCGTCATGATTCACAAAGATTATGAATCTGGTCTGTCCATGATTTCCCGTATAAATTGTCCAAGAGAATACGTACACACCAGAGGTTGGAGCCGAAAACATTCCGCTGTGTCCATTATATCCCCCACCTAAATTCGTTTTTACGACATCGAAAACCAGAGTGTGATGGATACTCGGATTCGGTTCTGAGGCTGACATATAGGCATAGAACGCAATAGGTTCAGTCCCAATCCTTATGTTTCGAGTGAGTTTCAACTTTTTCTTTGAGTTTTCCAGAACGGATGTTTCCTCTAAAAAGAATTCATTAGATAAAGTTTCTAGATTCTATAGGAATATATTCCTATAAAACATTTACCCTGTCTTTTTTTTTTTTGGTAATCGCGTAGAGCAGTAGTTATTGCATTTGCTCTGAAGCCGATCCTAACGACGCGGGTTCGAAACATTCGTTTGAACGTGAAACCGGTCCATATAAACCGAAGTCCCGAGTTCCGGTAGGTCATCATCATTATCATGGTCCCTTACACCCTGTGGTGTGTAGGGCAGCAACAAACTTCCTAAAGGTAGTTGTTGGCACGAAAAAGATCCTCCACTGCTCAAGGCCCTGATTACAGGTCTTCATTTGCAGCTTTTCATTGACAATTGTTGGCATCTCAATATGAGTGAAAAATTCTTGAAAGGGCGTTAAAACTGAACATATGAATAGGCGTACGCAGTTTTCGATATTATAATCTACGATATCAATACCAGGATATACTCTTCACATCCGTTACACCTGACTACTTTTTTGTCACGGGTCTCAACATGGAATGGCGACACGTGTTCGTGCTGGTTATCTTGCATTACCTTTGTTCTATATTGAAGTCGCGTATTAGGGGATTGAGGGGCAAAATGAAAACCATCTATCCTTCTGTGTTCAATAAATCAGAAGTGAAAAAAGAATTGGATAGATTACATGATCAGTACGTACTGGTTCCTGCCGACAAAGCAGGTAACAACATTGTCTTCGTTTGTAAGGTTCATTATATAAATTGCATTCTAGAAGAACTTGGATTTAATTCTACAAAGGGTAATTCTACTTATACTCATACTTCCCTTTCTAAGGAAGAAATTCTTCAAAATCACGTGTCAGTTTTGAATACTTTTAATATTCCACAGAGCCAAAATGAATTTGAACTACCTTATATTATTGGATTCCGAAACTTCATAAGAATCCTTACAAACAAAGATACATTGCAGGTTCCAGTAAATGTTCAACCAAGCCTCTTTCGTTACTCCTCACTAAGATATTGACAGTAGTGAAGGAAAAACTTCAAGAGTACTGTGCAACTATATATTCAAGAAGTGGTGTGAATCAGATGTGGATACTAAGAAATTCTTAAGAACTCTTGGACAATTTGAAATCACAAGACTTTACAAAAATCACCAGCTTAAAAACTTACGACTTTTCAACCTTATTCACAACAATTCCCCATGACAAATTAAAATCCAGGCTTTTTGATATCATTGACAGCTGCTTCTTCAATAAAATTGGAACCCGTAAATTTACTTACCTCATCATTGGTCATTTGCAAAATTATTTTGTTAAAACAGATTCTGATTGCACACATAAGTACTCTGAAGTTGACATCAAGAAGATGCTTGAGTTTCTGATTGACAATATCTATGTGGTTTTTGGAGACCAGGTATTCCAACAATCTATAGGAATTCCCATGGGTACAAATTGCGCTCCGTTATTAGCAGACTTATTTTTATATTCATATGAAACACAATTTATGCAAAATCTTATGCGTGAAAAGAAGAAAACACTTTCTGTGGCCTTCAACTCGACATTTAGATATATCGACGACGTATTGTCAATTAACAATGGTACTCGAGTAATTTCCATTCCTACGTCGATACGATATATCCTGGTGAGCTTGAGATAAAAGATACCACAGAGTCTGACACTTCTGTATCATACTTGGATATTTTATTTGAAAAAGACGCTAATGGTAATCTAACAACCAAACTATATGATTACATGATGACTTTAACTTTTCTATCGTCAACTTCCCTTACTTATGCAGCAATATACCTTCA